CTTGAGAAATGAGACTTTTGCTGTTCGTCGTGAGTATAACAAAAGAATATTCAATGAAATAGTCTGTTATACTAATTCAATGTAATTTGACAGGAATTACTAATGGGCTATAACTTATTAGTCTACATATCATGTATATATTCAGCGATTCCAATTTCATTTAGCCTATTTCCTAAATTTGTTTGCATACTGCAGATAACAGGCCGTCACTACTGGACAGATGGTTTAAATAGTTCACCTTTCAAATGACGTTGTTTCAACACAAAATTACATGTTAGAAAGAATGACAGTCTTAAGATTTACAGTCTAGTTTTTTCTCGCCTACAATGAGAGTGACTGTCATTCTGCCAAAAGTCTCATTTTGTGTTTCTGAGAAGAAAGACAAAGTCATAAAGCTTTGTAAAGACATGAGGGCAAGTAAATTATATTTTAGAGTGAACTATCACTTTAAAAGTGAGATGGGTGCTGAAAATCGCTAAGTAAGCCGTTATTAGACCCTGAAGTTCACACACAACCGCATCATTGCGCTAGAGCCAGTTCTAATGGGACACAAGTCCGATCACAAAGTTATGTATCTTGCATGTTATTTTCCTTTTTTTTTCATATATAGATACTAAAAGCTCTCAATATTGGCAGGTTGGACAGCTTTATTGATTATTACTAGAGGAAAGTCCACTTGCGATTTGCTTGTGGATACTGCAGTTCTCAGAGAGCTTATTTTCGCTGAGCCTGCAGCCTCGTTATGTAGCTAATCAATAACCCGAATTACTGACGTTCTCAGGTGAAAACCCTTGAGTTTGCAAGATGCCCTTCTGCCTCGTACATGCTTAACAGCTAATTGAGATCACTATTTATGTGATTAGTATTTCAAACGATTGCAGTCTGAATGTATTTCAGCTAATAAGCTCGTTATTTTAGAGCTCATTAGACTCTGACTGTCCAGTGTAATAGTTCTATATTTATACATGCAATAATCCAGCATCTGTCCATGGTGCTGAACTCTGTCCCCTGCATTGTCTTCCTTACTTCACTCCATGTCTTCACTGTGAATCACATACCTAAGGTCCATACTAAGTCTATTATAGGGGTTCGTTTTGTTTCATAGTTGTTAAAAATATGTAAATGTGTTTACAGAGTCATACATGCATATGGACCAGAGTGCCTTTCATTACGGTAAGCATGCGGATATTGCATGGAAATACTTTTTTTTTTAAATATAAAGCCAATAAAAAAGTATTTCACCACTCTTGATTTCTGAGCTCAGATTACGAGACATTACGGACCACGGGTGTCATCCTTGCTGTGGTTATGTTTGTAAGCGGGATTCTTATTGCTCTGAGTAAGTAACAGCTGTGATGTTACAAAATGTTGTCATCATCAAGAGTGACATTTACCTGGCATTACAGTCAGTCCAGTTTTACTTCAGTAAGTGCAGTGAATACATTCAGTTCTCTCAATCCACCAAACCATTTGTCTAAGTACTTCTGCAATGTGAAAAATGTGGTCAATTTAAATGAGACTAAATGTATTTCTTACAAACTGGCTAAACTCTAATTGTGACCCTGGACCACAAAACCAGTCTTAAGTAGCACAGGTATATTTGTAGCAATAGCCAAAATTACATTGTATGGGTCAAAATTATCGATTTTTCTTTTATGCCGAAAATAATTAGGATATTAAGTAAAGATCATGTTCCATGAAGATATTTTGTAAATTTACTACGGTAAATATATCAAAACTTAATTTTTGATTAGTAATATTCATAGCAAATGACATCATTTGGACAGCTTTAAAGGTGATTTTCTCAAGATTCCTCAGATTCCAGATTTTCAAATAGTTGTATCTTGGCCAAATATTGTCCTACCCTAACAAACCATACATCAATAGAAAGCTTATTTATTCAGCTTTCAGATGATGTATAAATCTCAATTTCTAAAAATTGACACTTATGACTGGTTTTGTGGTCCAGGGCCCCAATGTAAGTCCCTCTCAGTTATATTTTTCACCATCTCTAAATGTTTCTTTGCCCTGACAGGTAAAAAGTTCAAATGCTCAAAATCCAAGTAAGAGTTATTCACACAAATGTGCAGCCTTGACTGTGCATGTGGAATGAGTCTGAATAAGGATGAGGAAACGTCCTGAAAGAAAAAAGATGTACATCGAATCGATGGCTCCATGTCTGTTCACTGGAAAGCTCCTGTACTCTTTGAATGCAGCCCCTGGTTTCTAAAGTTATCGGTTTCTGAACTGAGTCTGACCAGCTTTTTTTTCCCCAGCTCAACAACACTGTCTATCCATTTAAACAACAGCATGTTTTACTTGCACGACCAGATGTATCAAAGACACCTGAGTGGTGTTCATACTGTAAAAGCTGCAGGTTGTTCAATGTTTTAAACAAGAAGCAGAAAGTTTGTTGTTCTCACACCTCCTAAATCAAGAACTAAAGTGGTTAGGCAGTGTGTATCAAGAAGACTAGGCTACCTCTACACTGGCTACATTTGAAAATGCATCTTTTTCTCTACCATTTGGGGTTTTGGCCTTCCATTTACAGCTCTGGTTTTTGAAGACTCTCTCCCAAGTGGATAAATTTAAAAAAAGTTGAAATGTAGACTGTAAAAGTGGAGTTATTTTAAAACGACGACACATGTTTAGTCATGTGGTGCAGATTGCACTGATAGATATGATGATTGAGTGCGACCTGGATGCACCAATTCTGAGATATTTTGCTAACAAAATAATTGGGCCAGAAGAAAAGCATGAGAACTTTATTAAGTAAGAAGAACTTTAAGAAGTTCATCAAGCCTGGTCTCTCAGTATCATCTAAGTGAGCTTTAATTACATTTTAAGCATACGCAGTAAGATGATTTAGCATTTTCCTATGTTTCAGCGTGGATAAGAAACTTTTGGAAAACTCTTAAAAACTGTAGTGTGGATGGGGAATGTTTTCAAATGAAAATGCTGTTTTCAAATGTATCCAGAGTAATGTAGACGTGGCCTGATAAAATGCTCAGCATGTCATCCTGAGATGATCTGAATCATTTGATTATATTGACGTTAGGCCCTTGCATTAAATCAAGCAACACCACTTACATTTGACTAAAGGAGATGTGCATGCTTGCTGAATATTTCAGAGTGCGACACCAGGGTTGTCAAACTCAGTTCCTGGAGGGCCACAGCTCTGCAGAGTTTAGCTCCAACTCTAATTAAACACACCTGAACCAGCTAGTCAAGGTTTTCATGATTACTTGAAAACTATAGGTACTTGCATAACAAGTTTAGCTCTGTGTGTTGGTGTGCTAAGCTGAGTTTGACACCCCGTTTAGATGGACTAGCATGGCTTAGTGGGATAATTGTGTTTTTTTTTTTTCCCTACAGATCTAGTCCAGTGGAAGGCCCTCAGCCACCAAAGACAGAAGGTACACTACCACAAACATTAATTCAACTAAAAACTACAGTCATATTTTTATTGAACGCTTCATAAATGTGACCTTTTTTCTTTTAGTTCCACCTCAGACAGTGTAAAGCATATGGTGCGACAGGGCGGCCCATTTCAGCGAGTTACTTACAGGAATGTGGAGGAGAGTCGAACCTGCTTGACCTCTTTTTGTAACCTCAGCCTAAATGCTGATCTGTTGCTGTATTTTTAGGTCTTTCGGTAGCACACGTGCTACATTATGTCTCTTTTGTGTTCATATCGTGTGAATGACACCATTCATGATGCATCTCACCCGGCCCCAGTTATTTTACCCATGCATGAATAGTTTGCTTTTAATGTTGTTGTTGTTATTATTATATGAGGCTTAGATCTAAAAGGGCATTTATGGAAATATTCACAGAAGCGATCAGGAATAATGATTAGAAAACTAGCAGACTGATTGAATTACATTGAAGAGCTCATGTTTCATCTAATGGATTTCAATCCTTTAGACAGATATGATGAAGTTAATATTTTCACTCGCTTACATTTGAATAAACAGAATATTGTTTGAATAAATATAAATAGCTCTCCAGCATGGAACTATATGCAATCCCGTGTGTCACTCTGTAATTTGTGCATGCCAAGTATGTAAGACAATTTTCTAGTTGTTTTAGTCTTGTAGTATATATTTATTTATTATTTTAGAATTTTAGTGCATTTGAAATACTTTTGAATGTGTTTCACAATTATTTTGTCATATGTCAGTAGAAACTGAACTTATTACCATTAACAGTTTTGACGTCAATCATAACAAGATAAACTGAAATGCATGGCTTTTCTGTTTACAGATTAGTCATTTGGATCCGTAAAGTCAGACATTACTTTACAGAGGGCTTAGGAACTATAGGAAAGTCTTGCCTTAAGAACTAATGGTGCAGTCAAATACAAATTAACTAGTAGTTACTAAGCCAACTTTACATCTCAATTTAAGTCAAACCTCACGAGCGGCTGATGCAACCCTTCCTTGGAGGTACACATGATCTTATGTCCATTGTAACAGCATGAATATTTGACTACTGTATTCCTGTAAACAAAAGACTTTAGAAAGTAATACTTTAGTCCCCAACCAAGTGTTACTAAAAAGCAAATTACTTAATTGCAACTCAATGTATTTATGCCTCATGTATTAATAAGAAAGCATCCATATATTTCAGAGAATAATGAGCCACTGCACATCTGTTTGATCAGCATGGAGGAATGCTTATGAATTCATTACAATTCCTTTAATGAAGGTTTTTTTTTCTTTGCCTTGAAATTAAGTAATTGAGTATGACTAAACACCCACAGCAGTCATAATGAAGAGCTCAATACAGTTACTATAAGAAAAGGTGTTTTTATTAATCATCCAAATGTTAGTCATGTACCAAAGACATTTGGCTCAATAAAAGATCCTGAGTTACAGAGGTTTGCTCTTGGTCTTTACTTATTTAGCTTTATTTAATTTGGCTTGGTCAGCTGACATATAATGCAAAACACACAAACTCATTAATAAAACATTAATGATTTGCAGAAATGTGGCTTATTATAGATGACACTTCATAAACAATATTTAAAAAAAAAACATTGTACATACAATCAAGCTAATTTTAATGCTACTTTATATACTCACAGAATTCGGTTTTGTCAGATGGTTTCATTCATTGAGTGTTTGTGATATTTGTTAAAACATGAGCAAAATTTCATAAATTAATTCTTTAGAAGGCAGTTTGCACTTTGCGTTCAAACTAATTCTCATAAATCTCTCTTTGTTTTACAAGAAAGTGACATTAGCGTGTGTTTTCCCTCATTTGAATTTCCAGAGGGACTCTGGGTACTTCAACATGATGAATCATGCATATCACTGACTCAACAACAACAACAACATTTGAAATCTTGATACAAGATGGACACTGACTATCCCCACTTAGAAAACCTTTCCTTTCATACTATTCCACTGAAATAACATTGTTAAATCATATTAATGATTCTGACATCTTGATTCTGTATAGGTCTTGATGACAAAACTACCTTCTTACCTCAGAACCCCCTGACATTTCACCCCCTCATATATGACTCATCAAAATAACACATTCACATACATGGCTGGATGACACATCTCCTGTAAGGACAACTATGATATCAAGTGTGCTGCTGAGAAAAGTGCATTACATAGAGAACTGATGTCATTCATATCAAACAATGAAATAAATAACTGATCTTCACCCTGAGTGAAAGTAACATGAACATGAGCACAGAGAATATGCAACATATACCAACCAAAAGCTATATAAATACATCTCAAGACAAATAAAGAATATTCCACTGATACAGTGAGTTAAAAAAGCAAACCAATATGGTTTATAATTGAAGGTGGAAACTTGACTGGAACTGACAGTCCTCATGACGATTTCATTGAAATCACTATTCATGAACATACTAAAATTGGCATGCATCTTTAAATAAACTGGGAAGCAGCTTTATGGTACAGAATCAATGAATGATCCTTCAAAAAATATACTGTCATACTAAAAATGATGCAATATGTGAAAATCCTCATAAAAGGATACTGAAGATCAACCCATTCTTCTCCAGAGATTACATTTTTGGGGTTATTTTTAAAGCTCTTTCTGATCTTAACTCTTTTTAAATGTTTTTTTTTTTTTTTAATTCACATCTTGATGGTGAACGGTTAGTAAAATGATCAAGATTAATGTTTCGTGTGCATACTATTATTTAATCCAGATGACTGTATCTCTACTGGAGAAGATGGGATACGCTGGGACTAAAAATCAGTCCTGGTCACTCTTGGTCCTGTAAGGATGTAAAACGTCGCCTAGAGGAGGCACTTTTCTTCTTCAAGATGAGCTTGAGCTGAGGGAGAGAGAGCGAGAGAGGGAAAATGGTGTGTCAGCTACTGTGTAATCTGTCCTTTTCTTTCTATGCTGTTAAAAACATGGTAGAAACTGTACAAGAGAATGTTTTTGCATGGCACTTCTCACAACAGGCAGACTGGTTGTTAATAAAGAAAACCTCTCACTCTCTCTCCTTTGTCTCCGCTCTGCATCAAATGAGCGGGCTGGTCGTTCTCCAGGTTGCGGATGCTGGGATCAGCACCTCGACTCAGCAGCAGCCGGATCAATTCCTCCTGAAAGGGGCTTCCATGCAGCCCCGCGGCCATGTGCAGGGCAGTGTGTCCATGAGCCTGAGAGGAGACACACATTTATAGATAATCATATCCACACTGTTGTCTGTTTTTAATTAATATATCCTGAAGTTCTGTATATTAGCCCTGCCTATTTTTCAGTGACTCTTTCTTCAGGTTACACAGTATGTGATGGCAAGTCTTAATGAATGACTTAGGATAGTTCATGAAAATTCTGTCATTAATTACTCACCCTCATGTCGTTCCAGACCCGTATAACATTTGTCCATCTTCGGAATACAAATTAAGATATTTTTGATGAAATCCGAGAACTTTCTGACCCTGCATAGAGAGCAACACAACTACCACGTTCAAGGCCCAGAAAGCTAGTAAGGACATTGTTAAAATAGTCCATGTGACATCAGTGGCTCAACCGTAATGTTATGAAGCTATGAGAATAGTTTTTGTGCACAAAGAAAACAAAAATAACAACTTTATTCACCAATTTCTTCTCTTCCGTGTCAGTCTTCGACGTGGGTCCAGAGAGTACCACGACGCATGCGTGAAGAGAAGAAATTGTTGAATAAAGTCATTATTTTTGTTTTCTATGCACACAAAAAAGTATTCTCGTAGCTTCATAACATTACGGTTGAACCACTGATGTCACATGGACTATTTTTTATCGATGTTCTTACTACATTTCTGGGCCTTGAACGTGGTAGTACCCTTGCTGTCTATGCAGGGTCAGAAAGCTCTCGAATTTCATCAAAAATATCTTAATTTGTGTTCCGAAGATGAAAGAACGTCTTACGGGTTTGGAATGACATGAGGGTGAGTAATTAATGACAGAATTTTAATTTTTTGGCTGAGCTATCCCTTTAAATAGATTTGTTCAAACACAATGATTATTTTTTTAGGAACAAAACAAGCGGTGGCCTTTATGAGTAAGTCAATTAATCGTTCACTTACTGTTTTTATGAGTAAGTCACTGGGTTGTTCACCCAATTTGTGAAAAAAAAAACTTTGATGCATTCAGGAATGAAATAAGGGTCTGTCCTATGAATGAGTCACTGAAGTGTTCACTCAACCAATACATTCAAAAACACTGATACATTCTGAAATGTAAAAGATAACTCTATTTATGAGTGAATCATTAGGTCGTTCACTCAACCAATTCGTTAAAAAACTCTGGAATGAAACAAGTGGCTGTCTTTGTAAGTCAATCATTCATTGAATCATTCGCTCAATCAACTGGTTGAAAAACATTGGTTGAGAACGAAACAGATTTATGAGTGAATCACTGAGTCATTCATGCAACCGATTTGTTAAAAACTCAGATTCATTCAGGAAGGAAAACAGGTGACTGTCTTTACAAGTGAGTCAACCATTGATTCATTCAGTTAACAGATTCGTTTATAAATAGTGATTCACTGAGTAACAAAATTTCATTACCGCATGTTGCTGGAATGGAGACACGCAGCAGTTAAATTAGCTTTGGCATTATTTGAAACTATACTATTGTATCTAAAATGTAAGTCACTCAACAATAACTTCTTGTTCACACCCACAATAGTGCTGTTGGTCAAAATTTCACCACAGCTGCAATTACTTGCGGCACGAGGCAAGTGTGATATTACTTGAGTATGATTTTGTATGTATATGAAAGCCAATACAATATCGTCATCATGTGTCTCACTTTCATGTTGATGAACGCCTGCATATTGGAGAGTTGGAGGCTGAGGAGGAAGCGCACAAGATGGATATTCCCCTCCTTCACTGCCAGGTGAAGAACTGTCTTGTTGCTTTTGATTTCCTGAAAAAGACAAAGGTATACTTGTCAACAAAGTGAAACTGAAGCAACATCAAAGCAAGTGTGCCATGAATGAGGTTTCCTCCTTTTGCGGCAGTCTGAAAACGAAACCGCTCTATATGGAACAATGACAAAATAATTTGTTTGTCTGTCTGTCAGAAAGGAACATTTGGGAAATATATTGTTTCTTTTTCTATACGTCGGAAATCGCTACCGTAATTTGGAAATGTCAGTATCCGTGATTTGTTTGTTACTAACTTGGGGACAGTAAGATATTAAATAAATGTATACTTATATTTGGCAATGATGAATTAATATTGATCCATTACAGTGCCAATAAATTGACAATTATATTTAAAACCTTACAAAAGATTTCTATTTCAAATAAATATTGTTCTATTCTTGAAATAATCCTGAAAAAATGTAGCACTCTTTCCACAAAAATATTACGCAGCACAATTGTTTTCAACATTGATAATAATACATGTTTCTTGAGCACCAAAGTAGCATATTAGAAGGATTTTTGAAAGCTTGTGTGACACTAAAGATTGGAGTAATGATACTGAAAATTCAGCTTGCTATCATAGGAATAATTTACATTTTAAATGATTTTAAAATAGAAAACAGTTTATTATTAATAAAATTTCACATTACTGTTTTTACTGTATTTTTGATCAAATAATGCAGCCTTGGTGAGCATAAGAGACGAAATCATTGCAAACCCTAAACTTTACATCTCTGTACATCAATAATGATTATTTTATTGGCTTTAATATGGCACTGTACTGATGTTATTATGGGCCAGGCTAAATGCAACACTCAGTTTTATAATAATATTATTTAATGAGTGTCCCTGCACCATCTGTCTATACACCAAGGGGTCCTTTAGCAATAATTAACACATTACCTTATTATCATTGGGATTAAACTGAAATATTAAAAGGCCATAAAACGGAGTACCTGGCTGAGAACTGAAGCTCCAGCATTAATAAGAAGCCGCAAACACATCAGTTTATCTTCTGCTTGAGTCTGTAGACTGCCATCAGCTAACCATGTTGAGGATGAGGAGGCATTTATAGCCTTTATCGTGGCACAGTGAGAGATCACTGCACAATGCAGAGGAGTCAGACCTAAAGATACCAGGCAAAAGCAAGAGCGGCCATATATTATTGTCTCCTCAGATGTCACTGTAACTGTGATGCTTATGGAACACTATGTAAAGGTTTATACCTTCAAAATTACGAGCCTCCAGGTCCACTCGCAGTCCAGCATAGAGAATAACCTATTAAATCATAGCAGTTTAGAAGCATGCTTTTTTGATTTCGAATGCATTGCAAATGGGCAGTCTCTCACCTGCATGACACGAGGGAAACCATAGGTGGCAGCCACATGGACTGCAGTTTGACCGTTGACATCACAGATGCTGATGTCCGCACTTAGAGAGAGTAGATCCTGGACTATATCTGGCTGATTGGCAGTTACAGCCACCAGCAAAGCAGTCTGGGATTCAAGAGAACAGATAGTCAGTGAGTGCAAATTGAATTTGATTTAACAGTATTTTGTCGTGATATTCACCTTGCCCTTGTGTTCTTTAGAGTCCAACTTCCCCAGTTCACTAAGTTTCTCTGCAGCAGCAAAAGCATATTCCCTCAGGCCTTTCGCGGTGTAGATATGTAGAATGCTAACAGAGAGTAAGAATAGAGTTTCAGTTTTCATTTACAGTGCAGAGCTGTCTAACAACCTTTTCCATAGGATTTACGCTTACACTGTGGTTTCATTAGTTAAGAAACGCACAAGACCTTGGTGGACCCCTCTGGTAAAACACCTAATGTGGTAATCTGCAGAATGCATTAACTGAACGATTTTCAAAAATACAGTAAGATGTATGGCTACTTTAACCTAAATGTATCTAAAAAGACTGCAAATGTTATTTGGGTCAATGACATATAAGACTGCCACACTGAAAAATGTGACTTTTTAAAAAAAAAATCATTTTCAGTAAAAAGTTGTAATGTAATGATTTTTCAAGTGGTGTAACCAAAAAGTAAAAAGTAACATTTTTAAAAATAATTTAAATAAATTTGAGTGTACACATATTAATTATAAAAAAAAAAAAAAATGATGGAACTTTAAGAAATAATTAATTCTGAAATATTATTCAGTTTTTGGGCAGTCACATCACATTGCACAACCATTGACAGCATTTGTTTAAAAAGCATAGAAGCACTTATTTTCTAAGAATAATAAACTAAATGATAAACTTAATTGTACTAATAAACTTATTCACCCATTTTCTTGACAAATAAATAATGTATTTATTTGTTCAAAACTAATTATTTATTTAAACAATCATTTAAACGATTTTCAATTGTTCAAAAGTGATAAACCTTTACAATGTTACATGTGCATTTTATTTCAAATACATTTTTTATTTTTTTTTATTTTATATTCATCAAAGAATTCTGAAAAAAGTTTTTATCATTGATAAAAAATATATGTTTTTTGAGCACCACATCAGCATATTAGAATGATTTCTGAAGGATCATGTGACACTGAAGCCTGGAGTAATGTCTGCTAAATGTATTAAAACAGAAAACATTCATTTTAAATTCTAATATTATTTCACAAAATTACCGTTTTTACTGTATTTTTGAGGCCTTGGTTCACATAATAGATTTCTTTTTTTCAAAAACATTTAAAAAAAAAATCTTATTGACCCCAAACTTTTGAACAGTACTGAACTCATTTTAAGTAAGTCCTAGGCTGCTTAAAGCTACAACTACAGAGCATTCTTCCAAATGACACCTGGTTACAGCATCCAAGGTAGTAAATCTCCACCCTAAACAATATTCAGAATATCTTCTGACTTACGTGTCCCCATCATCATCCTGCCAGGTGGTTCTACTGTAATCCATGTTCTGCAGGAAGACTCTGGCCTCCTGCAGCTTCACCATATCCATCTGGGGCCTGAACTCTTGGAGAAGGTATGGGCTTGTGTGATCCTCTGCTCTGGAGTCAGATGGCCAACAGAAGCCAGAGGTCTGAATGGGGACAGTCCCAGTCATATCAGTCCCGGCTGCAGTTACAGGGCACTCTGTTATAGACTGTGAGAACAGAGAATAGATTCATAATATGGACAAACCTTCGATTTTGTAAGCTTTCAATAATCATGCTGCCTGAAATACTTATAGAGCTCTTACATATTGCTGAGTTGTCTGGGCATCCTGGCAGTCTTGCATCTGCTGAGGGCTGAAGCCAGTGGCGAGCGTCTGTCCAGTCTGGGTAAAGTTTTGTGCAGCGCAGGAACTAGGCATGAATGGGAATGGGCTGCACTGCTGTAACGAGGAATGTGCCTGATGAATGCTGGGAACTTCCCATCGGTCATATCTGACTGCTCCCATGTCTGTGTAGCTTGTACTGGCTTCTGCAAAGAAAAGGTATAATTTTCAGATGTAAAAGAAAATCTAAATATCCCTGAAGTCTCATTTAATCAAGCAAAAGCCTCATTTAGCAGAGATGGTCGGACTCACCGGCAGTGGGAGATTGTCCTGATGCCAACACCTGTTGGAAACATTTTGGAAGGTGATTAAAGTCGTTCGTATCAGCCTCAAGGCATTTATATTTCATAATACCGGTATAATAGTTTGTCTCACTGGGACAGATGCAGCGCCACCAGCAGTGTAAGATGCTGCAGAGCAGGAGGGAGGTGCTGAGGAGGTCTCTCTCTTTCTCTTCTGCTCCAGGAGTTTCTTCACTGTGGGCAGAGGGTAACACACCTTTTCCTTCGGTGCTGTGGACACAGGAAAAAAAACGTTGTTATATTTATGATGTTTTCTGTATAAATGCTGCTATATGATAAATAGCCTACACCATTTAAAAGTTTAATACATCAGCAATGACATGTTAAATAGATGAAATGTGAAAGTAAAGATAGAGGTTGTTCTTTTGAACTTCCTGTTCTTTTTGAAAACCTGTTCAATTTCATCCTGAAAAAAATGTATCATGGTTTCAAAAATAAAAGCTGAACAACAGTTTCCAACATTGATATTAATAAGAGATCTGTCTTGAGCAGCAAATCAGCATATTAGAATCCAATATTAGGATCATGTGACACTGAAGACTGGAGTGAAGGCTGCTGAGAATTCAGCTTTGACACCACAGGAATAAATTACATTTTAAAATATATTAGAATAGAAAACTGTTATTTTAAATGGTAATAATATTTCACAATATTACTGTTTTTACTGTATTTTTGATCAAATAAATGTGGCCTTGGTGAGTATAAGAGACTTTTACAAACATTAAAATCATTACAGACCCCAAACTTTTGAACAGTAGTAAATATCTTATCTACATGGTTATTATTGATTAATCAATATTAGCAATAATATTATGATTTTTTTATGATATTAATATAATTTAACTAAATAAATAAATGCGTAATTTATATTCCAATAATATAATAGTGAAACTTACTGGAATTTAGAAGTAGTGACAATCTTGTCCAAATAAATGGTACTAAGTATTTATTATTAGCAGGAAATTTTAGATCTGCAAATCTGACATTTCCATTAAAACCATTTGTTTTACAATGTCTTTTTAATGCCTTTGATTTACAATGATCTTTTAAACAATCAAGTCGAGTAAAACATGAATCATATAACCATATTCAGTATATCTTGCTGGATACACATTTATTGTTGTTGTTTTCAAGTAAATCTGATTGATTTCTTCAGTAATGTGATTTCCCCAGGGCCGTTTTTAATAACAGGTGCTGGTATGACTTGAAATGTTTTTTGTTTGTGTGTGTGTGCGTGTGTGTTAGTCACCAAAAGAAACTGAAAAAGACAAGAATGCAAATATTGGAGGTTTCCAGTGGGCATCAGTTACGTATTCTAGAGCAGAAGGAAGGAAAGTTTCTTCAAAATCTTGACCCCAAACGTGAGATAAGAACCAAATTTCCACCGAAGGAGCATAATGCTCATCCTCTCACCCGTGAGGAAGGTATTCCATTTGGAAAAGAGGTGGTGAGGTTACGTCTACCTGTCTTCTTCATCAGAAACCCTGCGTCTATGGAGACGTTCTCACAGCACACTCTCTGTAACTATTTCCTTTTCTCCGTTACGCTCTTCGTGGCAAACCACATCTTCCTGCATCAGTGACGTATGTCCTTCGCAGGGGCCCCATTAGAGGTGTATGAACAGATGCTTAGATACTGATTCAGAGTCAGATTTGATGCCTGTCTAGCATGTCGTTGGTGAAATCAGCTGCATAGATCACAGCTAAATTGCAATACTTCATCCAGCCACCAGGAAAAAAATATAATATAATATAGATATTTATCGAATTACTGCTTCACGCACAGATAATTCTTACAAACACTGCAGTGTGAGAGAAACACTTTGAAGTTATTTTATTATCTTTTATGGGTATGTCAAAATTATATTATGCACCTCCTGATAATAGCTTTATATATACAGTAGTATAACTACAATAATAGTGTTTCGGTTGATTTATCTATTTATAGCTCAGACAGAAGAACTACTTGTGTTTCATTCCGCAAGGTATCCCTTTACAGGAAAAGTGACTGGTTTCAGCAAAACATTAAGTAATTCTTATGGTGAAGGGGATTCAAAAGAGGAAGATGGAAATTCCACTGGGGATAACCTTGAGAGGATCATTCCTTTCCTTATCTCTCTTGTTTGTTCTCCATTCCAGTTTATTTGAATTACTCCACTTCTCGGGCTCTTGCTTTTTAAAGCTGACTCAAAAAGTTAAGAGAAAAGATGGGCTACTGCTCAACACTGTATTTACATGGACATGTATAACTGACAATAAAATTCTATATTTCTGAGAGATTAAGAAAAATCTGGAGTTAAAACAATGGTTATAATGTCTTTAAAGATACACAAATTCAGAAAGTTATACCAAAACGTCTCAATATGTATTTAAATGATTTAGGGGTGAAATAATTGTTATACATGACCATTACTCTTCTGAGGTTACAGTAGTTGTAAAAATATACATCCACACACTGGACGCTGTTCAGTGTACCTCTATTGGACCCATAAAAATCATAATAGGACAGTATACACACCTACAGTTTCTACAACTGAGATGTGACTAACACTAACATACAGTCTGCTATGTTTTTATAATTATTAGCCTAGGTTTGACATATATATAT